GAACTAGTTCAAGTGCAGCCTGTTCTGTACAACTGGACACTGACCTAAACAATACATTAAAGGGAATAAAAGAGTTTAAAAATATTTTTCTTTTTCTAAAATATCAATGTGCTCTTCTTTTTTGTATTTATATTATGTGACTTTTGTTCTAGTCAGCCTGGTGACCAAACCAACAGAAAATTTTTCTCAACTGAAAATTCTATTTTAGTAGCCAAAGCTTGAAGATTGATTTTTATTTTTAATCTCTGCATTCCTGCTGCAACAACCTTACCTCCTCATCCTTATCACTACACATATAGATGCATCAGGTCAACTAAAAACAGTCATATACATATAAACAAAAAAATAAAAACCACATTGATATTTTTTAAAGTACCCTATCTGTTATATACACTTTAAAATTATTTCTTTAGGATACATTCCCAGAAATGAGATTGCAACATAGACATTTTTTCACTGTGAATACTTACTTCATATCATTTCCTATAGTTTTGAGCCAATGCAGTTCCCTCTCACAATGTAAGTTTCCTTTTAAGCAATCATCCATTGTACATGTCCCCCTAGTAGGAATGTTAACAAAGGTTTGGTTTTTTTTTTAAGATTTTATTTATTTATTTTTAGAGACAAGAAAGGGGGAAGAGAATGAGGAGGAGAGAAACATCCATCAGTTGCCTCTTGTATGTGCCCTGACTAGGGATTCAACCCATAACCCAGACCTGTGCTCTGACCAGGAATCGAACCTGTGAACTTTTGCTTTGTGAGATGGCACCCAACCAACTGACTCACACTGGTCAGGGCAGGTTTGGGATTTTCCTTTTGTTTTGTTTTGTTTTGCTAAATTGATTAATAAGTGATGGTCTCTTGTTGCCTCTATTAGCATTTTTGGTCACTGGGATACTTGAACTTTTACAATATTTATTTGACTAATGGATTTCCATTTCTTAATGGAGACTTCAAAGCCTGAGACACTTTTGTGCATAGAGTAAAAAACCCAGCACCACCTAGACTTCACTCGAATGTTCAATTTATCAAATGTTTATGTATAATGAACAAAACTGGGAAAGTCACTTTGTGTTAAAGACATAGAGATTAAATGCTGTCTTAATTAAATTTCCTTGAATAATTTAAGCTGCAATAACAAATTAGTGTAACTAATGCTTTTGAATACTTCAGACACTTTATCAGCAGTCTGAACATTTCGAACACTCTCAACAGCAAAGATGAATAAATACAGTAATCATAAAACTTATTCCTACAAAATGAATCCTCAAGATCATTTGAGTATCAGTCAAGATGCTGAACTAGGACAACTGGTTCCCTTAGGTAAGATCAGTCTCTGAGAGATAATATTATCATATAGAGAAAACTATGAGAAACTCTTCAGAGATTCAACCCCCTGGTATGGGTGTTTTCAGAAGTGAAATCAGAGCAGTGCATAAGAAGTACTGAGGATCTGAGGAAAACGGGGGCAGATCACCAGTGGTCACTCCCCCACTCCACCCCCAACTCTAGGGCTGGTACCTTTTCTGAATGTTCTGTATTTGGGGGAAAGAGTTGTTAAGGGGAAAGCCTTGACATGAAGAAATACCTTGGTGTATTCAGGAGTGATTAAATGTGGGGCTCCCCACTCTAGGGGGTTTATGTCCTCCATAGTATGTCCTCATAGTAACTGCTAGAACTCATTTGAGCTGGCCCAGATTGAGACCTGGTTGCTGACCCTTTCTGCATAGCCATTGCTGGGAAGTAGCCTGTATTGCAGGAAATATGAGTGCACAAGCTATACACAAGATATCTGAAGATCTCAATCTTCATACATATTACTAAGAGAAAGGAGCCAATCTTTCCAGAAAAAAAAAATATGTACTGTATGATTCCAGCTATAAGACATTCTGGAAAAGACAAAGCTATGGAAACAGTAAAAAGATCAGTGATTGCCACGGATTAGGAGGTATAAGTAGGCAGAGCACAGGGGGTGTTTAGGGAAGTAAAACTATTCTGTATGGTACTGTAAGGATGGACACACATCATTGTATTTTAGTCAAAGCCCATAGGATGTACAACACCAGAGCGAAGCCTAAGGTATACTATGGACTTTGGGTGATTATGATATGTCAACACAGGTTCATAGATTGTAACAAATGTACCGCTCAGATGCTGGATATTGAGAGTGGGGGAAGTTGTATGTGTGCCAGCCCAGGTGATATATGGGCACTCTGTCTTTTCTGCTCAGTTTTGCTGTGAACCTAAAAATTCTCTAAAAAACAAAGTCTAGTTTTTAAAAAGATTTTATTTATTGATTTTTAGAGAGAAGGGAAGGGAGGAAAAAAGAGAAGGAGAGAAACATTGATCGGTTCTTTCACCCACACACCCCAACCGGGAACTGGGCCTGCAACCCAGGTATGTGCCCCAACCAAGAATCGAATGAGTGATCCTTCGCTTTTTTTGGGACAACACTCAACCAACTGAGCCACACAAGCCAGGGTCCAAAGTCTATTTTAAAAAGAAAAAAATGGCTCTGGCTGGTGTGGCTCAGTGGATTGAGCACTGGCCTGTGAACCAAAGGGTCACCAGTTTGATCCCCAGTCAGGGCACATGCTTGAGTTGTGGGCCAGGTCCCCAGTAGGGGGTGCATGAGGGGCAACCACACATTAATGTTTCTCTCCCTCTCTTTCTCTCTCCCTCCTCCTCTGTCTAAAAAAAAAGTAGAATCTTTTTTTAAAGAAAGAATATTAAGTGTAATTAAGGACTGAATTTTCATTTCTGAAGAAAAAATGGTGAATGTGTTAACTTTAGAAAAAATGGTTGTCAGCATTCATCATCAGCCACAGCGATCATAGTATTACTGACTACATGAAAACACAAATCTGCTGAAAAAGCACCGACATCTACGACAAAATGTTATAATTATTTTAAAACTGTACCCGAGAAAGATCAAAGGTATGTTATACCTCACTTTTCATTGAGATCAAATACCCATTCTAAATTAATTTTGCTAATTTTTAGTTCCGACTTTCCCTGTGCTTGTAGAAAAGAACCAATGTAATCATTATAAATATGCTTGTGCCATGAACAAAAGAGGAATTTCTTATGAAGTTAAATGACGCCAGATGCTTCAAAGAGAAAATTGGTTTATTCCAACAATGGTTCATTTTTTGCCATTCAATTTATGTAATTATAATAAAGCTTTGAGTGCTCATTCTGTTGAAGATAAAACATCTGACATTAATATCAATGTTATTACAAATTCAATTAAAAAGTTAAACTTTTTTGTCTTGATTGTTAGCAACTTTAGAGGATTATGGGTTTAATTGGATGCTTATATTTTACTAGATGTAAGTGACATTTATGGCTGCAGAGTTTGTGGTGCCAAGGTTTACCTCAGTCATTGTTTCTCAGGCTAGACGATGAGATTCACCAGCCAATCCGAGAAGCTCTGGGGCTCATCTGCAAGGGAGGCAGCTCCAGGGGCTGCCTGCATACTGGATCACAGGGAGAGCAGACAGACCAACTGGAAAAGGAGCCAGCAGCTCAAGCTACACACACAAACCCCCCCCCCCCAGCTCCCTGGCCTCATCTAATGCTAAAAGTATTGACGATGGACTGGCACCAGGTGTTAGACTGGTGGAATCAAACCAGACCTCAGTTCAGCAACCTCAGTACTTGAGTTCTAGCTAGGAATTCAGAGCTAAGACTCAAACTATAAGAGAAAGTTCTTTTTTTGAAAGTCACAGAGGTACAAGAAGTGACCCATAGAAGAAATTGGTTCAGGAGATAAGTTACAGAGGCCAGACAAGGGCCCTTGGAGCTTAGGAGAGAGACAGACAAGGAAAACCCACCGGGGGAAAGGGGGTGGGAAAAGGTGTGGGCATGCTCCATTGAGAGAGCCACCAAAAAGTTAAACTTTGAAGACAAAGTTTTTTACTTTTGAAAGGATAAAATCATTACTAATTTTGGTAGAGCACTACATCATGGTGAAAGCAATGTTTTCACTAAATTAAGAGACCTTATAATGCGAAAAGTCACAGTGAACACAAAATTCATAACTGTATCCAAACAAAGAGTAATAGTCTATCAATGGAAATAAAAGCTGTAAATATTTTAAATGTATTGTCACAAATTGATGCTCCAGAAGGGTAATGTGTCCCTGAGGATGACAGAAGCTTTCTATGTGAAACCTTCTCAGACCTTGCTTATGTTCTCTGCCTTGGACAGGTTTTAATTTGTACCTTTTACAATAATAAAACTGTAATAATTGTAAGTATAATTTTAAAAGGACAGAGAGCATGAACTATAAAATGTTTGTCATGAAGGTGATATTGAAAACTAAAACCTCCACAACGAATGCAGCCCTGCCAACACCTTGATTTTAGCACAGTGAGAATGATTTTGGACTTCTGACCACCACAACTATACGATAATGTTTGTGTTGTTTTAAGCCATTAATTTTGTGCTAACTTGTTATAATAGCAATAGCAAATTAATATACTGACCAGTCGTGTATTCATTCAGCTCTAGTTATAATCATCCACCTGTCACACCAAACCCTCTCATGCTTTGGCCTGGAACATGTCTCCCATCCATCTGCCTAGATCCAATCTTGTTCTTTGAGAGTAATTAGACCCATCATTTCTCCTTGCAATCTTTGCCTGTGCTGGGATCTTTCTCTGTCCAGTGCTTTCTAACATGTCTCCTTTTCAGCACTTACCACACTTGAGTTGCCATCACTGATCATTGTATACCTGTTTGTACCACTTTGTCAAGTTCTTGATTGATAAGTGGCTTTGGTACTTGTTCTCTAGTTATTTGGTAGGTCTCACCAACAACACAGTAAGCTTGCAAAGAACAGAGCCTACTTCTCTCTGTGTGTACACACACAGGTGTGTCTTCCCTACATAAGTTTAATACACAGTGTTCCAATGTTCCACCCCCCAAAAAAACCCAACATCAAATAAATGCTCATTGAAAAAAATGAAACAGTCTACAGGCATACCTCATCTTATTGCATTTCTCTTTATTGTGCTTCACAGATGTTACATTCTTCACAAATTGAAGGCAAGACCCTCCACCAGCAAAAAGATTATGACTCAGTTTATTTTGATACTCACTTTATTGTGGTAGTCTGAGACTGAACCTACAATATCTCCAAGGTATGTCTGGACTTTGTAACAAATTATTTTTCAGTAAGTAAGCAAAAGGGAAAATATCCACAATAATATTTTATTATAATGCATTTTAGTATACTATTTACTAACTTGCTATAAGAAATTAAGCTCATTTATTCAGTCAGTTTTCTCCTGGAGGGGCAACTCCCGATAGTGTTCTTTTCTAGTCACAATTATCAGGTTTTCATAATTTAGTCTTGCACTTCAACCACCAGATACAGTACCCAACATAACCAAAACCCACTCATCCAGTTGACACATATTGATTGGGTGCCTACTATGTGCAAGTGCTGTTTCAGACATGGAAAAAAATAAATCAAAGCTTATCTTCTGGAGGGGAGAAGATATGCAAATAAATATCATCAAGCAAAATACTATAAAGAAAAAATGAAGTAACATGAGATTGAGTTCTTTTCCCTAAGAGTAAAAAACACAAAGAATTTGGTCTTTAATGAGATAAACACAGTGGTCAACACAAGAGTAAGTGGTGGTAGTTAAGAACCAGGATTTTCAAATCCAGTTCTACCAGTTGCACCACCCAATGTGTATCTTTGTACAAATTACTTAACTTCTCTGAACCCAGCTGACTCCTCTGTTTAAAAAAAAGGCACTCTCTCTCATAAGGTTATTTTGAGAATTATACAAGATAATCCATACAAAATGCTAAAAATGGTGCCAGACACATAGAAAGTAATTAAAACACAGCAGCTATTATTATGATATATTTAAAATTGTGAATAACATTTCTGAATTATTATGTAATCAGGTTTCTTTATATAATATTATATATTGTAAAGAAAAATCATTCACTTTACAGATACATATGCTGAGACAGGTAGAGGATGCTGTTTGGCTCCACAGGTCCCTCCTTCTGGATGACAAACTTATTCCACCAGCAGCTTTCAGAGCTTGGCTGTAGAAGGCTCACCCTTGACTTCCACTGTGGGAATTTTGCCCCCCACTGAACTGCCTCAGCTAAGGTGATGCCTCCTACCTAAGCTGGAGAACCAAAGCCAACCCTCCAATTTTCATTTGGATCTATTTTGAAGGACCACCCCAACTTCGGAGCTCTCTGAAGGTGGAAACCTCTTCTTCTTTCCTCACTCCACCACAGAGGTTGTTCACAACAGTCCCCAATAAACTTGCTCACCAGTCTCCATTTCAGTCAGCTTCTCCAGTAAAGCCAAATTAAGTTAAGCAGCCATTATATGAGCAAGGCACTGCTGTGATGCAGCTTTGGGGAACTTCTCTAAAAGGGCAGATAGCACGCTAGGGTTTGGTGGGCCATCTGTTCTGTCAAGTTTACTCAATTCTACCATTCTAGTGTGAAAGCAGTCATAGAAAATACATAAATGAATGGGTGTGGCTGTGTTCTAATACAGTCTTATTTTAAGGACACTGAATGTGAATATCATCATTTTCTCATGTCACATAATAGTCTTATTTTGATTGGTTTTTCCATTTTTAAATGTTTTAAAATTCTTAGTTCATGGGATTTCAAAAGAGATGTAACTAGATTTACTGTGGTGACCATTTTGTCAAATATACAAACAGCAAATCATGTTGTACACCTGAAACTAATATGTTATATGCCAATTCTATCTCCGAAAAAAAGGTGGCAGGCTAGATTTGACCAATAGCCATAGTTTGCCAATCTCTGCACTAGAGGAAGGGGATAGAGTAGCGTGACCCTCATAAAACCACCATTTTGGTGCATGAATTTACGGAATTTGGCATCAAAGGATCCTAGACCTTGTAACCTTGTTTTCAGGATACAGAAGACCCCTTCCTCACTCCAGAAGGGTAAAGAAAGCATAGAGAAAAGGAAGAGAAAAATATGGGGAAAAGAAGATTCATAAATCTGTATCGCCAAGAAAATCATACGTAGCAAAATCAAAATAGTTTAACATTCACTGTGTGGTATTTTCCACTTAGAAACTTCATCTCCACTAGAAAACAGAATTAGGAGATTTGAGTGGGTGCTTTGTGGCTATAGCCATAGCTAAGTAATGATTCAAAACTAAAAATACAATTGCAATTTGCTACTGTTTTCATGTTTATAAAGAATATATTTTAAGTGATCTAGTGATACAGAATAGAAAGGAAAGTTAAATATATTTTGAAACTTTTTGAAGCTTTGTCTCTATTCAAACATACCAGCCTTCCACAGTTCATTTCCCTCATGAAAAAATCAATTTGGAGGAATTTATTTGAGTAACAAGCATATCCTTAACGCATTGCCCTGAAACCTTTGGCTTTTTACTTTTGCCAGGATGTGTGCTCTTCTTCTTTGGTTTGTCTTCTTTTTCAACTTCTATACTCCTTGAAATGAATCCTACCTTTCCTTTTTTTGGATCATTTTTGTTTTTTGCTTTGTTGCTGTACAACCCTTGCTTTGAAATCATTCTTTATAGCACCTCTTTCCACATTCTTTCATCATGTGTAATATGAGATTTCCTCTTAATTCACACCTGACCTCCAGCCAACATTGACTTCTCTAGCTCTTGACTCCTTCCCAAACTCCTCCTCCACATTCTCAGAATAAATGAATGAAGTGTTCTTTTAGCTGTGAGTAGTTGAGAAAGAGGAATGGAAGCATCCTCTCTATGGATTCACATTGCTATACTGTGAAATATGGAGACTAGGAGTGCTGATTTCAGTGGATGCCAACTGTAATAGGCGGTTAATGACTATATCCTTGGCTTTTGAGGCCTCCAGGTTCTTCTCTCTAGACACTTGGAGACTAATTTGGTCCACACTTGTCATGATGAGTTCAGATGCCAGAATCTGAGTAGGGGAATTGTCATGAAATACAGTGTCCATAATATACTGCTTATATAACTCCACCACCTTCTGTTCCAGGTATTCATTCAGCACAGCATTAGAAATAGGCTTCTGTATTTGCAGGCTGCTTTTTTCCTTGATACTGGTTATTCTCCAGTAGGATGAATATCGCTGAATAGGTTTTTGGGGAAAATCACTGGGCTGCGTTGATATGGAATCCTCCATTGGCAAAGGAATCTCAGATGATTTCAGCAAAGGGCCATATTCAAAACTTGTCTCGGAGGGAAAATCTGTTGTCTCTGAATTAATGGCCATCACCTGGCCTCCTGCAATATGTAAGTCATTGTAATTCTTGCAAATACTTTTGCAGGAAGGGGGAACCAAGTAGGTCTCTCTGCTGGGATCTCTACAAATTTCAACTGCAGCCAAGTTTGGGCTTTCAAACACAGGATTGGACTTTGTCTGTAGCACTGTCGTTCTCTGGTTTCTACGGTGTTGACTCTCTCTTGAGTGCAGTGAAGAAATGAACTTGCCAGAGGATTTGCAGCTCAGGTAGAGACTTCTGACCTGTGTTTCATCCACAGAGGAATAGGAAAGAGCAGCAGAATTTGTCTCTTCTTCCTTTTCCTCAGCCACCTTCTCACTGTAAGATGCATAGCTCCAGGGGATGTCATTCTGGTAGGCAAGTCCACTGAGGTACCCTTCTGACAGCATTCTGGAAAGAGAATTGGTGAGTAACAATGGGGAAAATGAAGACTGGGATTTTTTAAATTGGCAGTTGATGTATCAAAAAAAGTAAAGGAAATAAATGATGTCATTTCATTCATTCAGCAAGCCATTACTAATTCTGAGCCTGCTGTGTACCAGAAGTATTGCATGTGCTGTAGATATAAAGATGAATAAGGCACAGCCCTGGCTGGTGAGGCACAGTTAGGTGGAGCATCATCCCGTACACCAAAAGGTTTCAGGTTGGATCCCCAGTCAGAGCACATACCTAGGTTGTGGACTTGATCTCTAGTAGGGTTGTGTATGGGAGGCAACCAATCAATGTTTCTCTCTTACATTGAGCTTTTTCTTTCTCCCTTTCTTTCTCTCTAAAAAGCAAATAAATAAATAAAATGTCCTCAGGTAAGGGTTCAAAGAATAAATAAATAAAATAAAATGTTCCTTTAAAAAAAGATAAATAGGACATAGATCCATCCTTCAGGAAATTCCCACTATGGGAGAAAATAAACTAGATAAAAAACAATTCCAATATTACATCACTGCAGGTTCAAATAGTGATAGTTACAAAGGAAGTACAGAAGAGGATCCCCTAATACCACCTGGGGATAAGGGGGAGGAGTTATAGGGTATGTCACAGAGAAGATGACATTCAGCTAAATTGTGAAGACTAAATAACAGTCTCAGCCATAGGCACAGAATTATAAGAGAATATGATGGTGTGGTACATTCACCATCTACCAAGATGCTAAGCATAAGCAGAAGGGGCTGGGAAAATAGTTTGGAACTGGGTCGTAAAGGGCCTTAGGAGTGAAGCAAAGGCATTTGCATGCTGCCCAGAGGAAATGGAGATTGAGAAACTGCAAACTGGGGAAGCAACATAGCTAGTGGGTTATGAGAAAAACAGTGAGGCAAATTCTCCTGAAAATAGAGCAGCATTTTACCCATCTTTGTATTTTATCCCTCAGAACTAACACTGTTGTTTGCATTTAGGAGGGACTAAAAAGATATTTTTTGTTAATTTGAATTAAATAACTGACAACAATGGCATGGTATGAAATTAATTCACTATCAACCCATTATGAGGGACCACAAAGCCACACATACTTTTGCAGCCCAGGACGAATTTCTTGTTCTGCCCACCCACTTCTCACAATAAGTCCTGGAAATGTCTCTGCACCCAACTGATGTGTTTACCTCTACTCTAGTTACCGAAGAGCTTTTCTGACCATGGGCTTTCGCTACACCTGCGTCTCCTCTCCACCCTCAGCAGTTGTCACCTGAGTCTGGAGTGACTAGAATAGGCTAGAAACCAGCAGCTGTGTTTTCTAAAAAAGGAACACACAGACAGTCTTGGCGCTGGGCAACAGACGACAAGGAAAACTAGTCCTCTTTGTCCTTCAAAGCTGGGTTTCTGAAAGAGACCTGTGAACATGAACGTGAATTGAAAAGTCAAATTTAAAAAAGATTATTTTATTGTTGGGAAAATAGATTCAAACATTATAATAAAAAATTAAAATTAAAAAAGAATTATTTTAACTATACATAAGGTTCCTTTTTTAATCTTAGCACCTATTCCATATCCATGCAGTTATTTCCCAAGTAAATTTGTTAATTGTATAAAGTAGATTTTATAAATATAATTAATATAATTGTTTTAGTTGTATAAACATAATATTTTCAATGTTGGTTTTCTCTTTTGGGAACTTTTCCAAGATATATTCAACAAATTTATCAATTCTAGGCATAGTGATGTGCCATAAAGATACAAAATTAAAACTCTTCAACAAATCCATGGGGTAATTCTTGTATGCTGGACACACTTATAAAGATGATGAAAATGGCTTTTCTTTCCTGAAAAAACTCTCTAAGTACATTCTGCCCTCAAACTGAACCCCCAGATAGAAAGGCAAATCTTTATATACATGAGAAGAGAATTAACAGAGCAACAAAGTTTAGCATAAAGGCTTCATAGGGAGGCAGTTCTGTCCTGACCCTACCACTCCATCCCTCCCAGGCTGCAGCCAAGACCTTCCCCCTTCAAGTCCTCAGTACATTATTGTAGAACACTAAAGCAGAAGCGCAACTCTCTGCTTTTGGGTTGCTAAACTGGCTTCAGAAACTCTCAGCAGAAACCATAGTTTTAGAGAAATGGCTTCTGAGATACATTACCTGAGCTTTAAAGCTTCAGAATGAAGAGACATACAAAACTTAGAGCATAATATTTATGTATGCATTAGCAATATACTCAGTGGATAGAATCCCCCATGGAGTCAAACAGTATGGCTTCAGATAGGTTTGGGAGCCCAAAATAGAACAGGTGTGTGCCCTATGTGCCAGGTATAATCTGAGGAAGCAGGAAGTCTCACAAAATTCTCTCCTGCTCAGCACGGAGCAGGAACAGGAGGAGAACCAGCCACATAGATTACCTGGGAGCACAGATCAGAGGCTGGCTCATCAAATGTGCTCAACACCAGCACGCTGACCAGAGTCTGCAATCCTGGAGAAGACCTAGATCTGGAATGAGATGATTACAAACATGATCTCTCCAGACCATTCGCCAGGGGCCAGAGGAAGGATAAGAAATTACCATTGATGCCAGTGTGAGTGAATGATAACAACCAAAAATGCCTCCACTCGCACATCCCCAACTGACCCTGTGGCTCTATGGAAGCAAGCTGGAACTTAGTAAATCCAGAGAGGACAGAGCCCTGAAGTGACCGAGAAAATCCTGACTGACAGTGATTACTCAGGAGAATGTGAGCTGAGCTCAAAAGTGAGATCAAATTGAGGCAGAGAAAAGCAAAGATTTCAAGAAAAAAAATAGCTGGTTAAGCATATGCATGTATTTCCCACCCCCTAAAGTTCACTTAAACAACAGTAAGTGGTTTTTTAAGATATAGTACACACACATGCAAATGGGAAACAGAAGAAGAGACAAAAGCACATATTTTAGAAACTGGAGAGTAGGAGGCTGAGGGCTAATAATTTAGGAGACCTGAGAAGGAAGAATGTTACAAAACCCATGAGTTATGAGATACCAGTTGAGGGTATAATTACTAAACCAATAATAGATAGATTAAATAAACATACATTTAGATGCTCCCATTTTGAAACTAGAACAAAAATATAAGGTGGAAAATAGTAGAGAAAAGATAAAATTAGAAAACCAGTCCAGAAGATCCATTATCTGAATACCAGAAGGTTCAGAAAGAGGACCAAGTCAACAGAGGGGAAATCCAAAGATTTCAACAATAATTCCTAGAACTGAAGGACATGAGTTCCCAAAATACCGGGTAAAAATAGATCATACCTTGTTTCATTATTGTGAAATGGTAGAACACTTGAGACAAAGAAAAAAATACTGGAAGTTTCCAGAGAGGAAAAGGACAAAAAAAAGTCCAAGAACTAGAATCTTCGGACTTCTCAACAACATGAGAAACAAAATGATCATATAACAATGTCTAAAAATTCTTTTTTAAAAAGATTTTATTTATGTCCTGGCTGGTGTGGTTCAGTGGATTGAGTGCTGGTCTGTGGACTGAAAGGTCACCAGTTTGATTTCCAGTCAGGGCACATGCCTGGGTTGTGGCCCAGGTCCCCAGCTGGGGGCGTGTGAGAGGCAACCAATCTATATTTCTCTCACACGTTTCTCTCCCTCTCTTCCTCCCGCCCTTTTGTTGGAGCTGTGGACTGAAACTGGATATGTGGGCTGAACATGAGGTGTGGCCGACACTAGGAAGAGAAGATGGAAGGGCTGCAGAGTGAGGCTCCCCTTTCTTTGTCCTAGGTCCAAGAAGTGTCAGAGAGAGTCTGAGCCATATTGAAAGTAAAAGGACATTCCAGGATGAAAACTATGTAATAAGCTCAAAAGGCAACCTAACTGGTTGTTACAGACCTGAAGCTTTCTGAAGATAAAGATGAAATGGAATACAACTTAGTAAGTCTGTCCATCACAAAGTAAGATTTATACAATTGCCTATAGACTTTAGTGGTGAATTATGAAAAGCTAAGCAAATGAAAAATCTAAACCAGCACTGTCCAACAGAACTTTCTGAAATGATGGAATGATCTATATCTGTGCTGTCCCAAATTTAACCAATAGCCACATGTGGCTACTGAGCACTTGAAATATGGCTAATAAAACTAAATTTTAATTTAACTTAATTTATTTTTTAAAGATTTTATTTACTTATTTTTAGAGAGAGGGGAAGGAAGGGAGAAAGAGAGGGGGAGAAACATCAGTGTGTGGTTGCCTCTCTCATGCTCCCTATTAGGCACCTGGCCCGCAAACCAGCTCTGACTGAGAATCGAACTGGCAACCCTTTGGCTCTCGGGCCGGCACTCAATCCACTGAGCCCCATCAGCCAAGGCGTATTTAATTTAAATTAATTAAAAACACCACACAGCACTACACTGAACAGCATGGACTTAGAAGATAGTAAAGGTGATAACATAAAGGATTGTAAAATACTGAAGGCAGGTAATGATAATTGCAATTTACAGTTCACTGGATGATCACTGTCATTGCAATAACTTTAGAGTAACATCTGATTAATTCATTCATTTCTGTGCTCCTTTCAAGGCGTATCAAAAGATGGGGATCTGCCCTGGTTGGTGTGGCTCAGTGGATTGAGTGCCGGCTGCAAGCCAAAGAGTTGCCGGTTCGATTCCCAGTCAGGGCACATGCTTGGGTTGCAGGCAAGATGCCCAGTAGGGAGCGTGCAAGAGGCAACCACACATTGATGCTTCTCTCTCTCCCTTCCCCTTTCTCTAAAAAAAATAAAGAAATAAAATCTTTTTAAAATTATGGGGAACCACAAGCATAAACTTTTAGATGTGTGGTAACGAAATGGGACCCTTAGCTAAAACATTTTGTTTAGCTATTTTGAAATAGTCTCTTTATAGAACTTCCTTTCTTTTCTTTTCTTCTGTTTTTTTTTTGGGGGGGGTGCTTTTATTGGGAGAACTCTAGAATGCCTGTGTGAATGG